CGGGGCTGCGGAGCCGCCGGGACCCCTCCGCCCGGCCGGGCTCAAGGTACGGCGGAGGGACCGGGGAGGGTCGGGGGTGTCCGCCCGGGGGGCTGCCCTGCCGCCGCCCCGGCTCCCAAAGCGCTCTTTAATTGTGGTCATTGATTTGAACACCGGCTCTGCTGCGGAGCGGGGAGGAAGCGGAGCCGGGCTCAGCCTGGTCCGGGGGCGAGCGGGGCTCCCGGGGGTTCTCGGGGAGCCGCACTCGGGTCCCCGGGCGGAGGAGCCGCTGCCCGCGGGAAGTTTCGGGGATGCGGAGCTCTGCGGAGCCGGGGGACAGCGCGGAGGGACCGGGGGACAGAGCCACGGGCGAAGGGACAGAGCCACGGGGACGGGGACAGAGCAGAGGGTCCGGGGGACAGCGTGGAGGGTCCGGGGGACAGCGTGGAGGGTCCGGGGGGACAGAGTGGAGGGTCCAGGGGACAGCGTGGAGGGTCTGGGGGACAGACCGGAGGGTCTGGGGGACAGAGCTACCGGCCGGGGGCTCGGCTGGGGGCTGGCGGGTCAGTCCCCTGTTGCTTTGCGGGGGCTGGCAGGTCAGTCCCGTGTTCTTTTAGGGGCTGGCAGGTCAGTCCCGTGTCGCTTTAGGGGGCTGGCAGGTCAGTCCCGTGTCGCTTTAGGGGCTGGCAGGTCAGTCCCGTGTCGCTTTAGGGACTGGCAGGTCAGTCCCGTGTTGTTTTAGGGACTGGCAGGTCAGTCCCCTGTCGCTTTGGGGGGCTGGCAGGTCAGTCCCTTGTCGCTTTGGGGGGCTGGCAGGTCAGTCCCGTGTTGTTTTAGGGACTGGCAGGTCAGTCCCGTGTTTTAGGGGCTGGCAGGTCAGTCCCGTGTTGTTTTAGGGGCTGGCAGGTCAGTCTCGTGTTCCTTTAGGTGGCCTCAAGTTTGCGAGCCCGGATGTCCAGCATCTCGGCGAACACCTGTTTGTGCTTTCCAAACGATTTTGGGGTGGTTTTGCTGCAGTTCCTAAATAATTAGCGAGATCCCCAGGGTGGGTTTTTTTTTTATTATTTTTTGCCGGGGAAGCGATGTGCTGCAGGGCAGGAGAGCTGCTGGAACGGCCGAGGCTCGGTGTCTGGGCTGTGTTATCGATTTGTGTTGCACGATCAGAGAGCATCGGGGAGCTTGGCAACGCAGCCCAAGGAGCAGAAAACAGAATTTTTCCCGTAGTCAGACACGGCCAATGTACGTGGGCTTTGCATCTGCCGCTTCCATCCTTAGGGATACTTGGCTTCTTTTGGTGTAGAAAGGAACTAAACTGTGTTTTGTTGGATTATGTACAGGTGTTCAGTACTACTACATTTTGTCTGAATTGCAGTTTTGGCAAGTTTGACCAGAGCGGTGACAGGTGGCATTTCTGTGTCCTTGGCAAGGGTTTGTTTGGTGTGACCGAGTTGATATGTGCTGTGTAGCTCCCCCAAATCACATTCCACAAGCCATAAATAATAAATATTATGACTTTAGATACCTACCTTTACATACCTTTCCTCCTTCTTTATAAGGAGGAAAGGAGAGGAGGTGAAAAGCTGTAATTTAAATTAATATGGGGTTTTTTTGCCATTTATAAACGTGAAATATTACCTTGTTGGAGCTGTGCTTGCCATCCTGTGGCCATTGCTACCCACGTGCCTCTGCTTATCTTCTGATATGAAACAGCAGAGTGCACAACTCCTGCTGTGATAACACTTCTCTCTTGCTTAAAAGTAGTAAATTTTCTTTGTGTTAAAAAAACAAACAAACAAACAAACAAACAAAAAAAACCCCACCGAACCAAATAAGCTCCTCTCTCAATGGGTCATTAAAAATTAGGAAATTCTGGGTCACCAGTTTCTGGTGCTCATTGAGGCTGAGCATCTGCTGCCGGTGGAGTCTGGCTTGCAGAGGAACTACAAGTCCAGATCATGTGATTTTAAAATGACATGCACAGGATAGGACACCGGGATTTGCAGAAGGTAATTTCTTTAGAGATATTGCCCAGTGTATATGAAATTATCATTAAATATCTTTAGCAAAAAAACCACCTGCCAGCAATCAAGAAGCTGAAATTTTGCCATATGCAGCACACAGCTTGGAAATGAATTTGTTTCTAAACTCTTCCTGTTTATTATTGATTTTCATCAAAATAGGGATGGGATGAATCTTGAATATGAGGCTGAAATAAAAAGACTGTACTTCAGCAATATACATTTAACTCACTGAGTGCAGTTATTGTGGGCATTCAGGATGAGTTACTTCAGTAATTAAACTTCATGAGTGAAAATATAACAGTCCACTTCTTTGCCTCAAGAAAGCCAACAGATCAGCCTTCATTTAAATGAAAGATTACATTATTCACGGCTTGGATGTGTACCTCGAGTGGCTTGGACTGGGGCCACCTCGTTTGCCAGTAAAAATTTACTTTATTGCTTCTCTTTGGGAGAAAAAAATTGGAACAAAAAGGAATTTATTCTTTACATAAAAACGATGCCGGGGACAGTTGCTCCTGTGATCAGAAAGGATCTGCTCCTTTCCCCAGTGGGAGAGGACAGGGACTACTTTAAACACTACTAATTAGATCGGTTTATCTTGCTTGCAGTACAATGCTGTACTTAGTTAATTATAGCTTTTCCCATTAGCAGCATGTTAAGAATAATGGATTAACATATCACACAGATCAAAAGAACATCTACAAAGTTTATCTTAGGGGAAAGAAAGTGTTATTGTGTGTCAGGAAGTCCCTCATGCTTTCCCAAGGCACAGATTTTGTTGGAATTCCTGAGCTGCTGCTTCAGAGCCCTGTGAATGACTTGAATTGATCACAAACAAGTGACACTGGAGCTCTTGGTTGCTTAGCAACCCACCAAGATGCCACAATTTCTTTTGGTATATTTGTCCAGTAAAGTAGAAATTCAGTTTTGTCACAGATCATGGGTTCTTTGCTAGCACAAAGCCCACCCTATAACGACCCTAAATCATGGAAAATGAAAATTGATGTCCCAGCACAGAGTGTGGGAGCAGCATGGGAATGAAAACAGAGCAGGAATCTTGTGACCATATTCTGGTGGTGATGTGCTCAGTGTTTTATAACAAGTTTCTCTTGTCCTTTCTTGGTTAGACTCCTACTCCTAAAAAACACCAAATCATTAGTGGGACGAGTTCTATCAAATAAATTAATCCACCAGGTGCTGTTTGAATGTGCTGTTGTGAGCTGAGAGATCCTGCAAGATCTGTGGGGTTCTCCTGTGCTCCGCTTTGAAACAAAACCTGGAATGTGTGGTTTGGTTGTGGTCTGAATTATCCCATGGCCCACGGGGCTGGGAACTCTGCTGGCTTCTCCTCGCAGCAGACCCTGGGTCCTTAGCAGATCTTTTGGGTAAGGCAATAACTCAAAGAGCAGAAGGAAGATAGATGTTATCATGATTATCCACCTGAAGTACCAACATGGGCTTCAATTAATTATATTTTGGTCAGTGGACTCTTTTTTGTTTCCCCTTGTCAGAATCTGAGCTATTGATGATCCCAAGATTGTAAAAGTCTCTGTCTGTCAGCCCCCTGCCAAAGCAGAAGCCATAATTGGTCTGTGCTGGTTTCCAGGTTGTTTATTCTGTTTATCTCTCACATGTTCTGCTGCCCTGCCCAGCTCTGTCCTGCAGGGCAGCGTGTGGGGCTCTGCCCTCAGTGGGATGTGACAAACATTCAATACCAGAAACTCCCTGGGCTGCATTTACAAGAACGTGCCAATATCTGTCACCTACGTTGGACAGTGTGTCCCCAGCCTGAACCCACAGAAAAATGCCAACACCACAGTGAGACATGGAGGGCATGAAGAAGGAGAAAAAGGACAAGACACACCAAATTTCCTCCATCTTGTCCCCTTTGGGTCCCTCATCTAGAATCCTAAAATTTTACTTTTGCACCCGTGCCACACTTAATTATTACTGATATCAAACACTCATAGCTGGTAATTGATCCTGTAAGACTGAAAACTCTTTTCCATGGACAGAGATCACAGCCAGTGTCTCTGGGGGCTCTGTCCAGGGGGGTTCCTGACCCCTGCCAGGCTCCCAGACCTGCCAGGGCAGCCAGAGGGATGCCCTGGATTCCCACATCCCTGGCTCCACATGTGCTGTACCCTGGGAGGGAATCCTGCATCATCCCCATTCTCTGTGCTTTTTTTGGAGTTCCAGGGACGGGGAACCCCCCGGGTGAGTTTGAGCCAGGATATTTCAGGAGCTCCCTCTGAGCACTTCAGCTGCTAATGGGCTTTTCATCCGTGGCCCCCTGAGCTGGAGCAAATCTCTGCAGTGTGTGTGGGTGGACCTGGGGCTCCCAGCACCCTTTTGCTCTACTTATCTCCATCCTTCTGAACTCTGTGTTCATACAGACAAATCCTCATCCTGCTCAAACTGCATCTAGGAAAAGCCTGCTAGGGCTGGGAGAACTGCAGGGTGTTGTGGCATTCATTCTGCTGAAATAGCAGGGAAGATTTCTTCCCTCTGGATGAGAAAAAGGAATCCAGGTTCTTCTCTTTGAAGAACTTGGGTATTGAATAATTGACTGTGTATGAGGGGGTTGTTGTAGCAAGAACTAAGACCACACTGAACCAAATCCCAGCTTGCTGTTACTACTCCTAGGCTAAGATTATTGTAGCTCAAAATCTGTGTACTGGTAATTAATTGTCCTTCTAGGCTCAGACTTGGTTGAAGAGCTTAGGTGAAGACCTTTGAGCTTGGCTGACTTTGCTGTGGGTTGCTTTTTCCCCTGTTGTTTCTGTGTAACAAAGTCAGCGCTCAAAACTCAAGGTTGTTGTATTTAGCTTCTTTTTTTCCCTTGCTACTCTTCTGTTTTATTCATTGATTTCTGTAAGTGCATTTGCATTCCCAGATGTTGATTAGTGATTGCCTCTGCACAATAAACAGACGAAGGTGCTTGGTGATATTTGGTGCCTCAGGTTTCTCCTCCCAGCGTGTCCAGGCACCCTGCATGAAGCACACAGTGAGTGATGGCTGTGCTGATGTTATTTTCTGGGGTTTC